GTGTGTGTGTGTGTGTGTGTGTGTGTGTGTGCTATTGCTATGCAATATCTAGTTTATTTACGAAGCAAAAGATGCTCACAACTCTTACCTCTTATGAATATGAAGACTGGGATTAAAGCAGTTTGTTACTGTAGCACCGTTGCCTTGCAGCAAGTCGGGTCTGGGTTCAAATCCCTGCCAGGTCCTTCCTGCGTGGACCCCCTCCCTGTGCAAGTCTGGATTTTCTCAGAGTTCTCTGGTTTCCTTCTACAGGCAAAAACCCAACATGTTCGGGTAACTGGAAACTAAATTGTCCAAAGGTTGTCTGTCCAGTTCGTCTCTATGTGGACCTGCGATGGACTGCAAACGTCCAGGATGTAGCCCACCTCTTGACCGTTTCCCAAGAGCCAGAACAGGAACACACAAGTATGAATGAATTAATCTGAAACATCTGATAAACATCTGCCCAACATCAACATATTATGATGCCATAGAAGGGTTAAAGACATTTGTTTTCCCAGAAACAGTTTATTTAAAAAAAGATGAAAGCAGAATTGGCATAATTGTGATTTTTCTTTTAATTTTTTTTTTTAATTTGTGTGGCTATGCTTTTTTCAGCACCTCTTACAAACAACAAACTTCAACAACATTTCAAAGCTCATCAGATTTCAAACAATAATTTATTACGCCTCTCACTTTACAAGGCTCAAATTGCGTGGCTACCCAGGGATTTGTTAAGCTGGTTTTCTGCTTAATACATGTAATCCTACCAAAGCAAAAGCAACTACATGTGTGATAAACAAACAGGTGCTTCAGTATCAACAACATAAGAGACATCTTTCTATAAATGTACATACAGTCACAACATTATCACTTAATGATGTTCTCTGCATCATGGAACACATGACACATCGCTGGTGGTGTTTAACTTTGGGAAATCAGCACCATTTAAGATTTTAAACAAAGTGATGTTAATTTCTTAGAAAAATTAGACTTTTTAATTTACAAAAATCCTTTTAAAAAGGGACGTGCTTTCTACCTTTTAGGGAAAATTGTATTGTTTCAATAAAAGCTGTAAAATACTGACAAGAGCGATATATAATTATATGGTACAAACAAAATAATGTAAATAGTGTAAATGCTGYCTGGTAAAGTATGGCACACGTTCTTTATAAACTTTCAAAACCTTTTCAAAAAGTCAAACATGATTGTTGTTTTTTTTTGTTGTTTTAAAAATATCCAAAAGAGCAAGCACAAAAGGTAGAAAAGGTTAATGAAAAATGCTTTAAAAAATCCATTTACAGACAAGTCCCACTCAGTCAAACCCAGTCCTCTTTTAATGAACCTCTTCACTGCAGCGAGGAAAATTTTCATCCAGAAAAAGCCTTTCTGCTTTCTTATTTACACAATAATGTCACTTTGCCTAAAGCAGGGGTCTCTTCCTCAGACTGTGGTCACAGACAGCAGAGAGTTGTAAACCCTYGTGCCGTCAGGTGACTTGGTACCATGGGTCAGCAGTTCCTGGATGGTCATCCAGTTGTCAAATATTTTCTTGTTCCTCTTTTTCATCATTTTTTTGTGGCTGAGTTCGATGATGTTCGGCTCCTTTTTGTCCTCCGTACTGCTCTGCTCCTTCAGACAGTCGGCCCGGCTCTGCTTCATGAACTCGCGGCGCTGCTTCTGCTCCTTGGCTCGCACCGCGTGCTGCTTCCTCTCCTCCTTGCTCCAGTAGCGGCCCATCTTCAGCTCGCTGATGGCGTCGTCGTCCGTGGTCATGCCGCTGCGCTCCTCGTGAATCCGCAGGGCGCGCTCCCTCAGCAGCTTGTCCCGGACGGGCCGCTTTGTGATGTACCTGGTGCCGTCGCTGCGGATCTTCACTTTCCACTCCATCTTGGGCTCKAGGTCGCTGAGGCTGATGGGGTCCCGGCACATGCTGACCAGGCTCATCTGGCTCTGGGCGTACTCCACGGCTGACTTCTGCTGGATCAGATGCATGTAGCTCTGGTAGTGCTGGGCGTGGGCGGGGATGTGAGCGTGTTTGTAGGGGGAGTGGGAGAAGCTGCGGCCGGTCTTACTGGAGTCTCCGAGCTTTCTTTCTTTGTTTTCAGCCTGCAGCGCTCCATCTGGGTCCTTGGACGAGCCTCTGCTCCTGCTGGGGCCACAGGCCTCCTGGACGGGGGATAAGAGGGGCTTGAGCATTTTGCCAACGGAGCTGCTGGAGCCAGACGGTCCAGCTGTGCCCTGGTYCTCTGCTCCTCGACGGAGGGAGTTATCCGGAGACAGCTCCAGAGTGAGAGGCGTGCTGCGGCAGCTCTCCCCAGTGTTGTAGGCGCTGGAGCTGTCCTTATCCGATTTCTCCGGCAGCTCCGAGATGTCGGACAGCTCGTGGCGCCGGGCGTCTATGCTGGTGTTGTAGTTGCGGAAGCCGCTGTTGTGGAGCATCCACGACTCCCGGCACTGCTCCCTCAGCTGCTGCATTTTGTGAGCGCGGACAATGTTCAGGCACTCCAGCTCAATGCTGCGCAGCTCCTCGTTCAGCAGCTCCAGCTCCTTGTCCACACCCTCCTCGGCCTGACCCCCCGCCCCGGCGCCCTGACCGTACGGGCCCTGAGCTCCACTGCTCCTCATCTGACACTTGAGCTCCAGCAGTTCTCGGAAACGTTCACATTCGTCGGCTGGGATGCCCAGAAAGTCGGCGTCGGTGTAGTCCGCCGAGACGAAGCACTCGCCGCTGAAGGGCAGGTCGGTGCTGCCGAGGGTGTCCTGGCTGTAGGCCAGCTTCCTGCAGCTGCCCAGGGTGTTGGAGGCTGTGGTGGTCTGATCGTCGGCCAGGTTCTCGTGCTCCGAGCTCTCGTCGTTTCGAGTGCTCTCATCGGTGCGGCCGACTCCGCTGTCCTTCTCGTGGTGGTTGGAGAGCAGTGTGGCTGTGTCTGTGGTGCCTCCATCCTCCTCAYGCTTCTTCTGCAACAACAAATACAATTACCCATTGAAGCACATCCTGGTACTCCCCAGGTCCAAAAACAAAGAAGTGCATAAAAAGAAATAACATATAAAATTAAACATTCTTTTCAAACAAAACCTAAGGAGGACTCGTCCGCTTGTAGAACTTGATAACTGGASCTAACAGTCTTCTGGTTGGCTGTTCAGTATTTCACATTGTTGWGGAAGAATTAAGTATTTTGGTTTACATCATGGTTTTTGTTCACTAATGTCTGCAGATGTTCTGGTCTGTACAGCTCTCATAAAGTCTGGTCATTGTTTTAAGTGATGTTTTGTTAAATAGTATTAGTTTGTTACTGTCGTAATTGTCTCTTTAAGACAGCCTGCTGGTAGTGACGTCACCACTACCCTCTGTGGAGAGTTGTGGGAAAGGCATGCTYGCTGATGGACACATGGACTGTGAGGTGGACTTTATATTTTAATCTCCCTAACTCAAAAGTAACACTAGGGGGTTTGTATGGACTCTGTTTGCTTCATTTATGATGAGTCAGCAGCTATGAAGCTGGGCCTTATTAGGTTGTTGTAAAGTGCGTTTAATAGAACTGTGGAAGTTCCCAGCACCAGTTTGGGTGTAAGGTTTCGACGGTCCTTAATATTACTGATCCAACACATTTTACAAGTTACTTTGTCAGTTATAGCTAGGGGTGCACCGATTGCGGGGTTTGACTGGTCATCGATCTTTAAAAAGTCTGACCTGCCAATTCCAGTTTTGGCCGATGCCAGTTTTTTGAATAGCTGACACTGTCAAGTGTTATAAGGTCACAATACACCTTCAATGTTCCAATCGTATTTTATTTAAAAACACTGAACAGTACCCTTGAACTGATGCAAACTTGTTTTAACTGGACGTTAGTGCTCACGGCAGAGCAAAGGGGGACAGTGGCTGATTTTCAGACCTTTCTGGAGGTAGATGAGAAACAGATATTTCCACTGATCTTATCCAACAATCGGCCGAGCTCAGATCTCCCAAAATTAAGGAAATTGATGCATCTCTAGTTATAGCACACAAAACACTGAGAACGATCCAAAAGGCTTCATCCAGGCTAGGCTAATGACCATTTTTTAAAACTGTTTTTCAGACTTTTTTTCTCAGCTGAATACGCAAATATATACATCCTGAGCTGATGGATTGCATACTCAAATGTATCAGTCAGAAGGTGAGTACATTTTTGGACTACACTGTACAGTAACATACATTCATATAGTACCAAAGACAAGAGTTCATTTATTGTCATTGTCAGAGATAATTAAACAAAGTCATGCAAAGTATAAAAGTTTGATATTAGCTAATGTAGCGTTTTTAAAGAGAGTATAAAAGTACGAAAAAATAAATAAAATCTGACACTTGTTTGGTTAGCCATTAGCCTAGCCTGGAGGAAGACCTTTGCCTCTTTCTCCACACTCTGGCCTCTATGACTGATGTCACAGATGATAAAGACTTTCCTCTTTGACAGATCATCACTTCAATAAGGATCAGACTATGGCTTTAGGGCAGGGGTGTCCAATCCTGGTTCTTAAGGGCCACAATCCTTCACATTTTAGAGGTTTCTCTGTTCCAATACACCTGATTTAAATGAATGGGACATCTGCAGTAACTCAACCACTTAATCAAGTGTGTTGGAACAGGGAAACAAAAGGTGCATTAGGGCCTCAGCACAACATATCAATCAGGTCAAAGTCTGGACTTTCATTGGACCATCACACCTTGATTTTTTTTACCCCAGCTGCTCGTTACCAGAATTAATTATTGACACAATGATGATGCTGCAGCTGAAAACAAACTCAAATAATCAGCTCTCCACCTCCGTGCTTAACAGCTGATAGAGGGGCTTTGTAGGTTTGTTTTTTGTAAATGTAGTGCTGTAAGTTATCTGTACGTTAKTACATACATCTTCACACATTTTGTCTGTATAAAGACCACTTATTCTAAAAGATCTGCCTTTTTAGATGCAACTTAAACTGTACTGAATCCCATTCGAAATGAAGAGTCTTCTTTCAACACTGAAAACCACTGAACATGGTTTATTCCAGCTGAGTGAGTTTTACCATTCAACATGCTCTGAACGTAGGTGTGTGTGTGTGTGTGTGTGTGTGTGTGTGTGTGTGTGTGTGTGTGTGAAGAGTCTTCTTTCAACACTGAAAACCACTGAACATGGTTTATTCCAGCTGAGTGAGTTTTACCATTCAACATGCTCTGAACGTAGGTGTGTGNGTGTGTGTGTGTGTGTGTGTGTGTGTGTGTGTGTACCTGCTCCAGCATGCTGGCAGTGAACTGCATGGCCTGATGGTGCTGCTGCTCCAGCATGTCCATGTGGAGGTCATCCAGGAAGTCATTCCTGTCATCATCCATCCAGCTGTCGTCCAGCTGAGAGGCCATGTGGAGGAGAGAAAACATGCTTCATTGGATTTAAAACTGAAACTGACAAATTTTGCTCAAAAGAAAAAAAAAAGCGTGGAAAATAGATAAAATCCTTTGATCCACCTTGAATGGCAGCACAGTTTGTTCCAAAGCAATATGAAAGTTCTGAACATGTCTTGTGTTGATGCTATTAGCGTGTAACACATGCTGATTACCTGGATCTCTGGCCTGGCCACCAGCAAAGAGATATTCTGGTTGCCCTCAGTGGTCAACAGTGCCACAGCATCCTCACGGTTTTGGATCTCAACACCATTTATCTTGATGAACAAAGGAGGGAAAAAATGTATATACATATATATATTTCAAAGCAGATTTTCTTTTGTACACAGTAATCATTTGCTCAAAGCATCATCATCACATCTCTTACCTGTACAATTTTGTCCCCTTCCCTAATTCTGCCGTCCTTTGCAGCGATGCTGTTTGGGTCGATCTAAGGTGAAGAGGAATTTTATGTTGAAGAGCCAGAGTAAACATCACCCCTGCTGACAGGCCTATTTGTTTTTTTTCTCCTAGTGTAAAAAAAATCTGATTTSAGCACAACCCTGCAACACTTACCTCACTGATGTAAATCCCAGCCTCATCTTCATCATCAGTTCTATAACAGATGGTCAGGCCAAGTTTATCTTGGATGTTGGCCCGGTACAGATCCACCTCCTGGTAAAACACAAGGTAAACCAGAAATATCTTTTAATATTGTTTAAATGAAGCAGAAAATAGCAGTGGATTTGTATAAATGTGTTTCTGGACAAAGCAAACGTATTGACTAAGAAATGGGACCAAAGAGCAACAGTGATCCATCAATCACTGTAATGAATCTTTCAGCCGGTCGCAGGGAGGCCATTGGCTTTTCTTAGAGCCCCACTGACAGCATGAGAAATGATGCAGGGAACTGCAGACGGCCAGGGCACCGTTTTTCACTTGTCAACACCTGTAATCTCACAGATACAGATAAAGTTTCGAACATCGCTGGTCTCTGAGGGCAAAGGATCTGTGAGGGTTAACCCCACAAAAACTAAACTGTAGCAGAATTCATTGATGAAAAAGAAAGACACWCTGGAATATATGTTCTCTTTTTTCCACAAGTCAGATAAGACAATTCATATTTCTTTTACCCAAAATGTAACAAATAGAAATACCATTTAGGTTTTGTACATTTTTTTTCATAAATCTGACCTAAATTTAGCTGTTAAAACTGACTAAACATCATAAATCAAAACTAAATTTACCAACTAAATACACTAAAATAATTAGTCCGTCCGTCCGTTTTCTGCCGCTTATCCGGGGTCGAGTCGCGGGGGCAGCAGCCTAAGCAGAGAGACCCAGACCTCCCTCTCCCCAGCCACTTGGGCCAGCTCATCCAGGGGAATCCCAAGGCATTCCCAGGCCAGCTGAGAAACATAGTCCCTCCAGCGTGTCCTGGGTCTTCCTCTGGGCCTCCTCCCAGTGGGACGTGCCTGGAACACCTCACCAGGGAGGCGTCCRGGAGGCATCCTAACCAGATGCCTGAGCCACCTCAACTGGGTCCTCTCAATGTGGAGGAGCAGCGGCTCTACTCTGAGTCCCTCCCGGATGACTGAGCTTCTCACCCTATCTCTAAGGGAGAGTCCAGACACCCTGCGAAGGAAACTCATTTCGGCCACTTGTATCCACGGTCTTGTTCTTTCTGTCACTACCCAAAGTTCGTGACCATAGATGAGGGTAGGAACATAGACCAACTGGTAAATCGAGAGGTTCACCTTCTGGCTCATCTCTCGCTTCACCACGACAGACAGGTACAGCGCCCGCATCACTGCAGATGCAGCACCAATCCGCCTGTCGATCTCCCGCTCCATTCTTCCCTCATTMGTGAACAAAACCCCGAGATACTTAAACTCTTCCACTTGGGGCAGGACCTCCTCCCCGACCCGGAGGCGGCACGCTACCATTTTCCAGCTCAAGACCATGGTCTCAGATTTGGAGGCACTGATCTTCCCCTTCACACTCGACTGCGAACCGCTCCAGTGAGAGCTGGAGATCATGATCTGATGAAGCCAATAGGACCACATCATCCGCAAAAAAGCAGAGGTGTGAGCTTAAGGTCACCAAAAAGGATCCCCTCAAGACCCTGGCTGCAGCTAGAAATTCTGTCCATAAAAGTTATGAACAGAATCTGTGACAAAGGGCAACCTTGGCGGAGTCCAATTTTCACCGGAAAAGAGTCCGACTTACTACCGGCAATGTGGACCAAGCTCTGGCACCGGTCATACAGGAACCTGGGGTGAAATATATGGGGTACCAGGCCCATAGCAATGGGCCTGGTACCCCATATTACCAGAGTACCCCCCGCAGGTGTCCCCAAGGGACATGGTTGAACGCCTTCTCCAAGTCCACAAAACACATGTAGACTTGTTGGGCGAACTCCCATGCACCTTCCAGGACCCTGCTGAGGGTGTAGAGCTGGTCCACGACTAGGATGAAAACCACACTGCTCTTCCCGAATCTGAGATTTGACTATCCAATGGACCGTCCTCTCCAGGACCCCTGGATAGACCTTACCAGGGAGACTCAGAAGTATGATCCCCCTATAGTTGGAACACACTCTGTGTCACTCTCTTTTTTAAATAGGGGGACCACCACCCCAGTCTGCCAATCCAGGGGAACTGCCCCCAATGTCCATGCGATATTATAGAGTCGCATCAACCAATGCAACCCCTCAACATCCAGAGCCTTAAGGAACGAATCGCATCCACCCCCGGCACCATTGACCTCGGCACCAGAGATTGGAGAGTCCGACCCCGGGTCCTCAGGCACTGCTTCCTCATGGGAAGACGTGTCGGAGGGATTGAGGAGATCTTCGAAATATTCYGCCCACCGACCCACAACGTCCCGAGTTGAGGTCAGCAGTGCACCATCCCCACCATAAATAGTGTAAAATTATTAGTTTTATTTAATATTTCCAATTATATGACTTAATTGGGAGTACATTATGTTCAATATGCAATCATAATGGCACTGTTCCTTAAAAAAATGCAATTAATCACTGCTTTATCAGACAGTTTAGCCCAGGGGTGGGCAATCCTGGTCCTCAAGGGCCACAGCCCTGCATGTTTTATTTTTTTCTCTGCTCAAACACACCTGATTTGAATGAATGGGTGTTTATCAGGCTTCTGCAGTACGGAGGACCCAAACTAACAATTAAAAATACAAGCGGAAATATATAAATTGAGTAATAAATAAATACACTTAAAGTAAACCAATAAAATTCAAAAAGGGAGAATTTTTTTTTAAAGTATACATACATACATACATACATACATACATACATACATACATAC